CCCACAAATACTTTTGTTCCAACCATTGCCTGTGCCAGGTTATCTACCGTTCTAGGCAAAACTTATTAAAACGCCCCCCTCCCCCGGCTATATTTTCGAGCCCCCATATTATATATATATATATATATATATATATATATATATATATATATATATATATATATATATATATTAGAAGACTGTCTCAATAAATTCTAAATTAAATAAATTCATTGCCAAGTATGTCCATCATGCGACAAAAATCACACAGAGATAAGCTCGAACTCATTTCTGGCCTCGAGTAATCAAGTTTTAAAATTTCTTATTTACGCCCAAAGAAAAGTTTGAATAGTGTTCCTTCTTCTTTAGCAAGCTGGTCATGGACCACGAATCAATGAAACTTGGTATGTTTGATGGTTTCCTGTTTTTTTTTCTTTTGCTGTTGTTGTTTTTCGTTGTTGTTGTTATTTTGCATTTATACTATTCATTTGGAATTAACTCCTTGTTATAGCTTAGTCATTAGTCAGGATGCTTAATTTTAATAAATCTTAAGAAAAAATATTTGTTTTGTTTTAATTCGCTTAGTAAAAAACTATTTTAATTAGTTTTATCGGCACCCCAATTCGACTATTTAAAGAAGAGAATAAGTTATGGAAGTGGTTTAAAGTTTTGCCTATTTTTCATACTACAACTTATGCACTATTCTATCAAGGTGCAAAAAAAAATTGAATTTTTGTCAGATTTTGTCTCTCCCCCCCCCTTCCCCTAAACGGCCTGCGTTATGCGCCGACACAAAAGGGCGCGAACGAGATAGGTAATAATATAAAGAGTTCCTTACTGAATTATATACAGTCGAAATAAAGAATGTGGACTGCTATTTGGCATTACAGACTTATTTAATTTTTCTACATCAATTCTGTGACACCAACATAAAAAGGCAAAGTGACTGTTAAAAATAGTTTCTTCCAGGCAACTCTACCTCACCATTGGAAGAAACACTGGTTTCAAATAAGGGAGGTGGGGGCGCATTTTCACCAACGTGCAAAGATGGGGCGCAAAATTGATAGTTAGTCCTCGGCACCTATATAGATCGTTACGCCTTTGTATATAGTTATTGTATAATGTAATATAATCAAAGTTATCAATTATTACATACTTTTTAATAATGGCGATTTCACATTTTTGCGCCCCACTATATGCCGGCCCTTGTTCCAACACTTACTAATTATACCAAATCTGAACACTTTTAAAACAAAGCTAAATCTAAAACAGATGCCCTAAATTAAAGTGTATTATGATGTAGATGTACTAATACAACTAGCCTTCAAATATTCGCGACACCAAAGTATGGTAAAAATACAATTTTGTTTATTCTACAGTTTTTATGAAAGTCTAGTTACGAGGTACGATAACTGTCTAATTAAATAGGAATCCCCTGTGAGAAATGTGACTAGGATTGTGGAATCTGTTTCGCCAAATAGTTCAGCACTACATGTCTACACATGTAAAACAACCAGAGTAAAACTTCTTCATTTTGCGTTATGGAAGATCAATGTGACTGTACAATCGCTTCGTATGAATTTGCATTTGTATGGAATAATGCCGCAGAGTATTTTTCTCATCGTTATTTAAACAGCAAAACAATAACGTGTGTTAATCGCTGTTGCACTTTCTACTTTAATAAATCCAATGTATTAACAGCAACACAGAAGGCACGCGTACACGTAATGCCTTCAAACTCACCAAATACGATGTCTACAATTATAAGATCAACATTCTTCTACTTCCACTCAGCTCATCCAATATCGAATCTGAAATCAACAAACTGCTTATAGATCTTGGAAAAAAATGAGGCGTTCCTTGTTTAGCTCTCATTACTGCAGTGATCGTACACATAGTGCAAAAAATCAAACGCGTCTTAAATCATCTCCTAAAGCTATTAATTCATTAACAAACATATAACAATGACAGAGCTCCAACTAAAGACAACGCAAGAGATCAATCAAGTCTATAACTACGCAAAGTTACAACGAATTTAATACTTAGTATCATGGATTTACATATTTCAATACTTCTGCTGAGCACGATTATAGGGCTGGTAAGTAGGTCACAACCAATAAAACCTGCATGAGCCATATAACTGGTTGGTGACCTACTTACCAGCCCTATAGTTGTTTAGATAATATCGATTGTGATTTACACTTGACTTTAACAACTTCCAGCCAATCAGAAGCAAGGTGTATAACCGATACATTAAATAGTATAACATTACCATTAAAAAAATGGTTTAAATCAATGAAATATATTGAGTCATGATGAAAAATGGTGTGATATCACATCCGACTACACAACTACGCCTATCACTAACACTACAAGAGATAGATTTGGCTATGCAAAAGAAAACAATACAAAAGAAGAATAAATCGTTTCTAAATAAAAAAAATAAGGAGATAAAGTATCTTAGAATCTAACCCTAGCACTGCTCATGGAGTATATGACTGTTAGAAGGTTAATATAAAAAATAAAATGCTTTTGGTTGGGTGTAACGTAATTGGTCTTTACAAATATTGTATTAACTATATCGTATAAACAGAGATGAGCAAAACCAGTTTTAAGTTTAACACTGTTTAGTCTAGTAATTTGTTGCATCCTTGTATGAAGTATAATAACATAGGACAAGTCGTTTTCCAATTATTCACGCTAACATTCATGTTTCGTTACAAAACCACTAATAATACAAATGAATCACATGAAATCGGATACGACAGAAAACAGTATAAAGTGTAAACATAAACATATACAATCGAGTATAATATAAACTAAGCACGGTCCATGGTGTAATTTAAATAGAATGTATCTGTCTTTGTGACCTCGGCCTAGTGTGTGTCGGCACTATGACCAACCGCCTTAACTGTCCTAACGTTAATCAGGTGCCCAACAGAGTTCGAATGGACACATGGACATCTAATTAGTCAAACGCTCTACCACTTGACCACACGTCCCCACGTAAATATATATAAATCAATTTACATTCACACACATAAACACGCACACACTTCACGTACCAAACGTATACACCCCTCTACCCACCTAATAAGAAAAAAGACAAGACTAAAATATTGTTGTTGTCTTCTCAATGTGATGTATAAATTCAACTTGTTCAACTAAAGATTATTTTTGTTTGAAGTATTTATTTTAATAAAATACTTCAAATAAATTAAGAATGCAACAGATTACTTTGTATATGTACAATATGTACCCTTATTTTGTTTTAATGCTTATCAAACCACAACCTTTTGTGTATTGTATGAATACGTGTTTATTATTTAAGGCTAATATTTGATCAGAAGCTAAGTAACATACATAGGATACGTTTCGCCTCTTTAAATCTTGGTAACTTTTACATTCTGGTTGATGAAAAACACAAACACATCATTGAAAATTGCATCTCCTTCACAAATTAAAAGTTGGTTAAAATTCAGTTGTATGATTGTTGAGTCCCCTCGTAGAATTACATCAAGTGCCTGAAGTGCGCAAGAAAAACTATTTGCCTATCCCGGTTTCAGGTTTACCACTCCCCTAGTTTACCAATCTGAGAACCGTTACCTTGTCCCTTATCTATTACCTGGTAAACAAACCTAAAATTAGATAGGGATTTTCATGGGCTAACATACCCTATCCCCACTCAGGCAGTGTTACATAATATTATTAATCCTTGACAAGATTTATTTGGATCAAGCTACCCCCCCCCCCCACACACACCCTGAGCTATTAAACACGCGTATATCCTAGTATAGACTAGTTTTAATTGTTTCTAATTTTTATCCGTCGGAATTTTCATAATACGATTTCCTTTGAAATTCATAACAAATTAATACAATTTCGTTTATCTTTACTACCTTCTCGTTTTTTTTGTAAATTTAAAAAAAAATAATGATTAAAAATGTGCTTTTGAGTATGTTTGCATTACAATTAATTTGTGTTATACTGAATTATCGATCCATTTCTTAAAAGTTGTTAACAAATAATATTTTTATATTCATGTTTTATTTGTATATTATTATAAAATCATAATAAATATAGCTTGTAGAATAAACAACAAAAATTTAACAGGATTGTGAGCAGCAAAAGAAATTATACACGGGGACGCAACAATGAGTAAACAGTTTCTAGAATATTAACTATTTCAAGATTCTTAGATTACAACAGCATAAAACCAAAAATTATGTTAGCTAGCCATATATTTTACATTAACAGTAATATCATCTAATTTTGAATATTTCGTCAAAAATAAATTTGTTTTGTTGATTCCAATATAATTATTAACCTAAACAATATATCTCAGACGATTATTTAAGTAAACCTTCAATGCATATTACAGTGCTCATCAAACAAGTCCGCGTTTGAAATAAAGATTCAGTCCGTTCTTATTAGGTTTCTCAGATACACAAAACTAAGCAGGCAAAATATACAGAGTGACAGGTTATATTACTTTCTTCATAATATATATATATATATATATATATATATATATATATATATATATATATATATATATATATATATATATATATATATATATTATATATATAAATCAAATAATGTCTGCGATGGGCGGGCGGACTGATATTGTCTTTTATAGAAATCCAAACGCCTGAAATAATCGGGATCATTCTTGCCACACTGGATCGTTATAACAAGGGAACTTTTTGTTCTGGCTAAATTCAATGAAATTTCAAATAGCTTTAAATTTTTCAAATTTTGTATACTTTTGTGTCCAAGTGCGCACTTCTCTCTCTCTTTCTCTTTCTCTCCGTCTCCGCAACATTATTTAGGCTATGTGATCAGTAGATTTAGCGATATATGGAGAACTTAAATATACCGACTTTTGTTGTAAATAATATGGTGGATGTTATGTATAAGCTACATTTTATTTAAAGAAGGAAAGTAAAAATAAAATCATATTCGAATGTAGAAACACATTATAATTATGCAACCGGAAAAGTGTTTATTATTGTGATAAGAACGCAACAAAACAATGACGCAACTTGTTCAAATTACGAACAGTACACACAATTAATGGCGTCACCTTCTAATTTTAGAATATGAAGAATTGAACTATTTCATTCAAATTTGATTTAGATCGATTCATCTACGCTATACACATTTTTAAACTTTGCAGAGACGATTCACGTTCAACATGTTTTTTTCACTTCTGTGTAGCCGAAGATATTTCTCTTAATGTCAGTTTTAGACGAGAGTGTGGTAGTTATGCTCCGTGTTGACGCTGTGTTTGCTGGCTGCTGTTTGTGGCTGTAGATTATCGTTGCAAACACCGACATCTATGACCTGTAGAGTTGCCGACCCTGGTATAGGTTTAGCCAGAGTGTAGGGAGACAACTCGTGCTGATGGACGCGTGATTGTTCTTGATTTAACTCCAATAACCCATCGTAAGGGTTTGAAATATATCTGCTATCTTGTCCTAATCTAGAGTAGTCGCTCTTATCATCTTGGATTAAGTCTTCATGGTTTGTCTTCCTTGTTTGTGCGTTGTCAGTTGAGTTAGCCGCATCTTTATTATTAACTGGAATACATGTGTCATTGTTTGTAACAGAAGGTTTTGTTTTGATGTTGGTGTAATGTCGATCGATAACACCACCAGTTTCTGGCTTGCTAGGCACAGTTGATATCACACGGGAGTTATGATTGTTGCCATCTATGCTTGTGTAGTCATCTTCAACAATAGTATTGAAATATTTAAATCCATTATCCAAATTGGCACTGTCATTTTCACTATGTGTTAGGATGGCTGGTGTTGGAGCGTCTTTCTCATTACGTTTTATCCTGGATTGATGTCCTGGGTTATTAGTCGGAACATTGTCATTGTTAGGGTTACTGTTTGTTAGTGCATTGATATCTGTAGATGATGATTTAAGTAATGACTTATTGTGTTGCACACGTCTAATTATTATCACTGCAGAAACAATAATAAGAATCAAACAAGCAACACCTCCAATGGTGCCTAGGATAATGGGAATCTTGTTTTCTTTAGGGTCGAGATTAGTTGAGTTGTTTGTTGTTGTTGTAGATAAACTTGACTTTGAGACTGTAGACAGTAGTGTTGTAAATTCTGACGTTGAATGAATTAATATTGTCTTTTGTGTTGTGGTTCCTACCACATTGTAATAAAACGTAATGTTTTTATTGTTACATTTTCGGGAAAAGTTAGAGATAGAAGGATGAATGAAATATTCTTCATTAGTGTTATTCCACAATATGGCAAAACTATTTTGTAACCATTCAAATGTGCAGTTTCTTTGACTTTTTTTACATACGACTTTCTGAGAACTTGCATTGTTTTTGCATTTGTAAACAGTTCCGTCTAATTTGTTTGTTTGGTTTGAAACTAGAATATGATTGTTAAGCGATTCGTATCTGAATTGACAAGAAGTATGTCGTCTAGTGAAACAGCTGTATAATCTGTTGAAAGATATAAACATATATTGTGGTAATCATCGCTTCAACAAAGATGTTGATTATAGTATCTGCAAAGGTAACAGTCAAGATCTACTATCGTTGGCTAGTTTGGTGTGCCTACAGGTCTACGGAAAAGTCCCCTCGTTGACTCGACATAAAGTAAACATAGAGGCCTACGTATCATAATTTGTTATCATTACATTGGAATTAATGTATTCGGTTTTCTTAAGTTTATGTTTCATAATTTTTATATCTCTGTAAGAGACCTATGTTACCTACTTTATTTTACTTTTTTTACTTTCTCGTATATACGAACTATAGAGAAAGTCTTGTAATCAATCGTGCAAAAAAAATCGAGGTTTTACAGATCTCGACGTTATACACCTCCCTGAGTCGGAAAAACATTTTTTTTGCAATCTTGTCCGTATGTCTGTGTATTGTGTGTGTGTGTGTGTGTGTGTGAGTCTGTGTGTCTGTAAACACGATAACTTGAGTACCGTTACAGCTAGGTTGATGAAATTTCATATAAAAGTATTTTATCAAAATCGTTGATCCGTGTCAACTTTTGAGCGATTTCCGATAACAGGAAGTGGTACTTATTCTACTTTGAATTTTTCAAAAGCCTATAACTTCAGTACTATTTCAGATAGATAAATGAAATTTCACACGTAAGTAAAAGATCTAATTTTCTACCTTCTTTCAAATTTTGAGTAATTTCCGTTGACTGGAAGTACTAATTTACGCTATTTCCGATTTCTCAAAAAACGCATGTGAATTTATAAAGTACTAATAATATTCCGCACTATTATACACATCTTTATTCGGCGTTCGCTTGGTGCGCAATTCTTTTTTTTTTTTGAGATTCTATTCTATTTTAAAAAGTTTAAGTATTTAAAATGGATAAAAAATCATAACTATATCCAGAGTTCCCATCCCATGTTGTTTTATATAAGAATATTCGAGAAAGTTTAGGGGAGATCACTCCCGGTTTATTATATTATGCTAAAGATCTGTTACCCACATTATTTTACTTTTTTTTTGTTAAAGTGTCTTACTGTAAATAAATGTATCGATCTCTTTCAGCGCTAAATTGGTTGATATTTATTAAATTATACGACCCTTATCTTCCATTTAAAATAAACTATTTACCTTTGTTTTCAATCTAATCGTAAAATGCTCTGTTTGTATTTAAGACAAATAATAGAAGTTACTTACTGTAAAAAGAGTGATTGGTTGAGCGAAAATCTTACAAAATAATTAGTATTTGTTGGCTCGTATTTCACAGAAAGGTATGCTAATTGGCATGCTATTGGTACTAGAAATATTAAAAGAAATATTCCTTTTAAACAAATTGAGGACGAATTATGAAGCATCGTCATGTCATCTTTCTGGAACAAATTATAAAATATTTTATCAACTTTTTATTTCAAAATATTTGTTATTTTGCTTGCTGTTGTTTACATATACAAAATAATAGTATATAATAGTATAGCATTGAAAAATAAACCGGGAGTGATCTCCCCTAAACTTTCTCGAATATTCTAATATAAAATTACGAGGGATGGTAACTCAGGACATAGACAATATTTGTTATCCATTTTTAATTACTTAAACTTTTTATAATAGAATAGAATCTCGTAAAAAAAGTATTGCACACCAAGTGAAAAGTTTCCCTTTCAAACCTGGCGGTCTATGGGGCAAGTGAACTAAAGTTCACATGTTTCTGTGACCTCGGCGTATGAAGAGATAGTGCGGTCAGCAATATGCCCATCCGCCTTTACTTTCCCTAACAGGAGTTAGGTACCCATCAGAGTTTGGTGAACTCAGGAACGGTCTACTGACTTGAACTCGGATTCGAACTCGAGACTAACGGGTTAGCAGTCCAGCTCTCTACCGCTAGACCACTCCGTCCCACACCAAGTGAACGCCTAATAAAATGTGTATAAAAGTGCGGGATATTATTAGTACTTTATAAATTTACATGCGTTTTTTTTGAGAAATCGAAAAAAGCGTAAATTAGTACTTCCGGTCAACGGAAATTACTCAAAATTTGACAGAAGGTAGAGAATTAGATCTGTTACTTACGTGTGAAATTGCATGCTTCTATCTAAAATAGTACGCAACTTATAGGGTTTTTAAAAATTCAAAGTAGAAAAAGTACCACTTCCGGTTATCGGAAATCGCTCATAACTTGATCGGGATCTACGATTTTGATAAAATACTTATATATAAAATTTCATCCACCTAGCTGTAACGGTACTCAAGTTATCGTGTTTACACACAGACAGACACACAGACATACGGACAGAATTGCAAAGTCCAGTTTTTACGACTCGATAACGCAGAAAACGCCAAAACGTTTATATATTTGTATTTATAATTTTTGCCTGATTAAAATAAGTCTTTTATACTCCGGATGTGATGAAGGACTGAGGAGTAAAACGGTGAAAACTGTCAAAATTTCATGTTATTTTTGTGTACGATTACAATACTTTCTCTATACTTCGTAATTACGAGAAAGTAAAAATAGCCAAATCCAAAATAAAATTTACATTGTGAATATGAAAAATATGAACATTATATCTGTTCTAATATATAATTTTCAGCACAATTATTCTACATCTAAATGGAAAAAAAACATTCACCTTTAATATTAATTTTTCATCAGTTGTGTGATGTTTCACAAACTGTTTCACTGTGCGATGATGTTACACTGTTAAGCTTGATCGTTGTGTATCAGACTAGGTATTTACTTCCTGAAACTTGAGCATGCGCAGTGTTAGCCTGAATGTAATCACGGTCGCCTATGTGTCAAGGGGTGTTGTTTGTTGTCTTTAGATTATTTCCTCGACCGAGGCGGATCTACACAATGAGGTAGAATGTGAAATGTCACCATTTAAACATTTCATCTAGTCAATGGATAATTTGTTGTATAATGTTCGGTGTATTAGACATTCTTATCTAGGAACTTGGATTCAAATAAGTAATAGTTAAGATAATAAAACTGTAACGATTACTTTATTTGTTAAATAGTAAGAAGAAGAAGTATATACAAGTGAATGGGTTGCAGAATTTCTCCATGTGTGTGTGTTATATTAAAAAATTAAGGCAGATACATATTGTATTGAATTGTATTGAAGTAGGGTCGATGAAGTGGCTTATATATTTCTTGACATTCGCGAGTGGAGGAATGGTGTGGTCAGCACTATGCACTTGTCCCTAAAGTTTCCTTAATTTGAGCTTGTTGGACTCGGGAACGATTCATAAGTCTTGACATGAGAATGTTTGTTCTTTCTTACAATGTGGATACAAATTGTGTTTCTTACAGACGATTTAATGAATTATTCAGCTATTTTAATTTAAATATGAATATATAAAGTATGCCGTTTTTACTTTCTCGTATATACGTAGTATAGAGAAAGTCTTGTAATCGTGCAAAAAAAAAAATCGAGATTTTTACGAATCTCGACGTTTTACACCTCACTGATACGGAAAAGCATAATTTTGCAATCTTGTCCGTATGTCTGTGTGTGTGTGTGTCTGTCTGTCTGTCTGTCTGTCCGTGTGTAAACACGATAACTTGAGTACCGTTACAGCTAGGTTGATGAAATTTCATATATAAGTATTTTATCAAAATCGTAGATCCGTATCAACTTTTGAGCGATTTCCGATAACCGGAAGTGGTACTTTTCCTACTTTGAATGTTTCAAAAGCGTATAACTTGAGTACTATTTCAGATAGATAAATGAAATTTCATATGTAAGTAAAAAATCTAATTCTCTACCTTCTGTTTAATTTTGAGTAATTTCCGTTGACTGGAAGTAGTAATTTACGCTACTTCCGATTTCTCAAAAAACTAATGTAAATTTTAAAAGTACTAATAATGTTGCGCACTATTATGCGCTTTTTTATTTGGCGTTCACTTGGTGTGCAATTAATTTGTCTACGAGATTGTATTCTATTTTTAAAACTTTAAGTATTTAAAATGGATTAAAAATCATGTCTATAGCCCGAGTTCCCATCCCCTGTTGTTTTATGTAAGAATATTCGAGAAAGTTTAGGGGAGATCACTCCCGGTTTATTTTTCTTTACACTGGTAAAGCTTTTAATGTATGGATTATGGTCAAGATTTAGTTCATATTTTCCAGCGTATACAAACTGATCATATAAGACAACCACCGCTCGTTACAATGTGAAATATAGAGTTAATGATATGGTAGGCTTATACCCGTGTATAAGACAAGAACCTATAATAGATAAGAATTACTGTGAAGTAACGTTTCTTCTCTTTACGCTTTTGGTGAAAACGTTTTTATTATTAAACATAGCTTCAGATAGCCTTGGCTACTAAAAACGAATACGCTCCTTTGACAAAGGGTGATAGAATAAGCATTGCATTCCCTTAAATCAGATATACTTTAGTTGAATGGGTAGGCGTAAGGGAATGGGGGCGGGTGGTGTGTGTGTGGGGGGGGGGGGGGTGGCGATAAAATCTCATGTTGCTGTACGTATAGGTAGTAATCTCCCCTTGAATGTTTTCGTTCTGTCGGCTGGAGTTTCCTCCCTTGGCTACTTAATATTACGAGTGTTGTAAATATCGCCAGAAGTGTAGAGCTAGAATATATATTATTACGCGTTTATTTTGCGTGGCTCTGTTAGCTCAATAACAAAGTTATTTATGGGGATTTACATAATGCGATTTAGCTTAAGTTAAGGACACTGGGGTAATACATCCTTAGCCAATGAAACTGTGGACAGGAAATGTATTACATATAGAGGAACTTGTAGACCGAAAATGCTTTGTCTTTGGCCAAGGCATTGTAGTTTTTTGTTCTGTGTTCATATTTTGTTTTTGAAACAGTTTCCAAAAGAGTAATAAGTTGGAGTAACAGGGCCCAACATATGACTAACAAGCTGAATAGCTAGATGTCATTGACACTCCAGCATTGAAAAGAAGTGGTAAAGATACTAAAGATACTAAATGAAGCACAAGCACTCGCATCCAAATGAATACGCATTTAAAAATCGAGATTGAAGTGTTTAAAAATGTTTTATTAATTACAATAACAAATTTTAAAAACGTCAAACGCTGTTAGTATCCATCTTTCATCATTATTTATTAAATAGTCCTTTTGTGTATTTGGTTTTTCGTGTCTTTTACAAAGCTAGAGTTAATGTACCTAAGCATTTCATTACTTACAGTGTTGCTCCTGGTGGAGTTGGATACGGATTTGAAGATTCATATACGACAAATCAAACAATAAATAAACTATTATTTCGTTAGTTAAACTAGGGTATTATGGATTTCTGATTTTTTAATAGCTAGAAATTAATTATGAAATAGATGGTGGTTGTGGTGGCTATGGAGAGAAATATCCTAGCGAGCAAGGGAAAAGTGGAGTGGTGGGCGGGCGAACTGTTCCTAGTGCGAGTTGATGATCTGATTATAGCAATCCTAGCAGCTGCATTGGCTGTGCTAATGTTTGCGTGTATGCTGGTTGACATCTCTGATGTGTTGGTTGACGTCTGACTGGTGTTTGACGTCAAAATGGGTGGTGACGTCTGTGTACTGGATGACGTATCAATGGGAGTTGACGTCTGTGTAGGGCTAGACGTCTGTGTAGAGCTAGACGTCTGTGTAGGGCTAGACGTCTGTGTAGTGTTGTAGTAGAACGCCAACAGCATGTTACCACACCTGAGAGTCGTGTTTGTCAGGGTGGGATACGACATGTACTCCTCTATGTAGTCCCAGTCTATGACGACGTCGTGTTGTGGTATCTCATAGGTGCAGAGCATAAAGCCAGGCCTTGTACAGGAGATGGACAGGTCACTGAAGTTGTACCTGCAGGAGTACACAGGTGTCGGTAAGTCGGCTGGCCAGGTACCAGCAGACGATGAAACATCAGTGACAGTATACGTCTGCGTGTCGTATCTGAATTGACAGAGTGGCTGAGTATTCGCTAAGCAGTTGTAGAATCTGGAAATAAAACAAGCATACTAACATTTACAAAAAAAAAAACCCAACTTAAAAAGACAGAAACAAATGACATAAAATAAACATTCTTGCTTTAGTAAAAGCATTAGCTGCTAAAATGTGGATAAGATTTTTTCTAGGACTGATGGTGCAGAGAGGCAGCAGGTAAGCAGGCAGGTTAAGGCAAGCAGGTTGTCAAGCAGGCAGGCAGGGAGAAAGGCTATATTAATTGATCATTATCAATACAAAAAGTAGTCCGTATTTAATTACATTTATACTTCAACATTAGTTGTTGTAAAGTTACATTGCTCTCTTACATTGTTATCTGGTTTAGAAAAGTTTATCACTGAATGAATGCAAAATCTAGTAAAAGACTTCAATAGCTTTACTCTCAACCAGTAATTATGTTAACATATATTTCTATTTTTTTATAGAATAAACAATGATTATTCAAATAGTTACACTTACTTTTCAAATTTGGCATCATCAAAAGAAAAAACTCCAAAATTGGGGTAAGGTTTCAGTTGGCTCAGAGCTCGCATGTAGCCTCGGTCACAAGACACGGGTATCAAGGTACACATCAAACAAACGATGAAACAGGCAAATTTCCGTTGTTTTTCACTGGTCATTTTGTTTATCTGTTGCAGTACAACACGTTTCATAGATCTACAACATAAGTAAACATTACTTTAGTTGTATTTTTATCTTTGCTTTTATTTATAGTATACAATCGATATAAATGTAGAGGTTTGATTATAGTAAGTTTGTTCATCTATCTATATGTATAATTATCTTCTTGGAGACGTTAGGAAACAAGCTGTAAGCGCGCCTTGCAGTTCCCTCTCTTCCTCTCTAGGTAGTCTGGTGAGCTGTGGTCACGCTAAATGCTTACAATCGTAGAGCCGGGTTTAGTGACGGTTACTAGGGGCTGATAATTTAGTTTGAAACGATTTTAAACGTATGGGAGGTAATTAAGAGGAGGCTGCTTTCATGTGGGGGGGGGGAGGTGTAAGGTAGGAGTTGGGGGAAAGGAGGGTGGGTGAAGTATCGTCCTTAACGACCTACTGATAGTGTTTTAAAGCAAATATTTTCAGTGGCAGCATTGGTATTGTCGAATTCACAAATTATAAATTACTAAAAAGTAGAAAATAAAACAACTAAATAGCGGTATATAAATATGCCGCGGGTCGGCTCGTTTTCTATAATCAATATAAGTATAGATGTGTGATCATTGTAGCCTTGTTGATACTCATTATAATATTCTGTTTTGATGTGTGTTTGAATTAGAAACTACAATGGCATTAAGTATCCACATACCTTTGGCTTTTCTTCCTATACTTTTACGCATCTGTTTTCAAACTGTTGTCTTGTAATTGTAGCTTAGAATGTTTTTTTATAGATCTTACCCAATTCTCACCCATCTGGTTACATTAGAATCCTTTATATACACCTACTAACTTAGTGCGCTCACCGTGTTAAGTGTTCAAATGTTTACACAACTACCAAGACCTCGGTCACGATGATTAAATATTACTTGATAATTTAAAATTCATTCCTGGATGAAAACGCTTTTAACGCCCTTTTGAAAATTAAATATGCAGTTCTATGAACTGTCGCAACTTCCTGGAAAGTCTATTTGTATTATATGTTTTCCAATTACAAATACGACAAGAGCTGAATCTAGAAACAACTCGAGTGATGGTAGAAGTAGCGCGATAGA